GGGCCATTTCAGGGTGCGAGCGTTGACAAAGGTGGCATGCATGCACCTTAGCTTCAATATCCTTGTCTAGGCCAGGCCACCACAAGTGGCTGCGTGCAAGAGCCTTCATTCGTACAATGCCAGGATGACCCTCGTGGAGGGAACCTAAGACCCTAGTCCTCATTGAGGTGGGAATGACAACTCTGCTTCCCCAAAGCAGACAACCCTGAGAGGTGGACAACTCATTCCTTTTAGACCAGAAACTCTGAAACTCAGGACTAGGACAGTGCTCAGGCCATCCAGACAAAACCCAAGAGAGGACACGTGAAAGTGTGTGATCTGTGCCCGATTCAGCAGCTACATCCCTGACATTCAGAGGGGACTTGGGCAAAGCTTGAATAGAAAGAAGATTGATAGCTGGTGCGGGGTCAGCTTCTATTACCGGCAGGGGTAATCTACTGAGGCCATCAGCATGGCCCATTTCCTTCCCAGGCTTGTGAAGTAGGGAAAAATCATATGCAGACAAAAAGATAGACCACCTGAGCATTCTGGGGGAGATGATTTGGGGGGTTTGCTTACGTGTGGTAAACAGTCCCAGCAAAGGCTTATGGTCAGTGAAGACCGTGAAATGCCTACCATATAAAAAATCATGGAATTTTTTAATCCCAGCAACAACAGCTAAGGCCTCCCTGTCTATTTGAGAATAATTACGCTCAGCAGAAGATAATGTTCTGGAGTAATATGCAACAGGAACCTGAGTTCCATCAGACCTGAGGTGGCTCAGGACAGCCCCTGCCCCATAAGGGGAAGCATCACAAGCGATGCACACAGGAAGGGATTCATTGAAATGTGCAAGTACACTGTTAGAAGTGAGTAAGGCCTTGACCTCATCAAAACTTGCCTCATGTGTTTGTGACCACTGCCACACTGCCTGTTTATCTAATAGCCTGTGAAGAGGCTCAGCTACACTAGCCTTATGTGGAGAAAAGAATTGTAGAAATTCAGAAGGCCCAGAAAGGCCTGAAGTTTGGCCTTAGACTTTGGCCTAGGGGCATGCATAATAGCTTTTAGTTTGGATTCAGCAGGGTGAATCCCAGCAGCATCAATTTTAAACCCCAGGAAATCAGTAGAAGGCACCCCAATTTTGCATTTGTCCTTTTTAAGTTTGAGACCAGTTTTCCTGAATCTTGACAGGACAGCCCTTAGCCTTTCAGCTAAATTGTGTGTGGAGTCTCCTGCAATTAAGACATCATCAAAGTAGGGGCAAACCCCTGGTATACCCCGTAGTGTGTTTTCCGTTACGCTTTGGAAAATTCCAGGAGCGACATTTACTCCAAATTGTAGCCTCTTTACCTTGAAGGCTCCTCTGTGGGTCACAATGGTCTGAGCTATAGCAGCATCATCATCAACAGGCAGCTGTTGATATGCTTGAGCTAGGTCAAGCTTTGCAAAAACACCCCCCCCCTTGAGGAAGGCCAGAATATGACTGACCACAGGAACAGGATAGGCATGTTGCTGCAATGCCTTATTCAGAGTGCATTTGTAATCAGCACAGATGTGAATGTCCCCATTTGCCTTGAGAGGCGTGACAATGGGAGTCTCCCAGGGACTGGAGTCTACAGGTTCTAGAATTCCTTGTTGGGTCAGTTTATCCAGCTCAGTGTCAATTTTACTCTTTGAAGCAAAAGGGACCCTTCTTGCTTTAATTCTAATGGGTGTGACAGTGGGGTCTACCTTAGTGACACAGGGGGTCCTTTGAATGTGCCCAGCTGGGGGCTGAAAACATCTGCAAATTCTTTGCAGACTTCCTGTAGGTTGAGTGTTTGTAAGCTGTTAAGCCCTGTGACGTGTATCCCCAAGGCCTGAAACCACTCGAGTCCTATGAGACTCATTCATTCACCTCCTACTACTAATAGGTCTAGTGGACCCTCAAAATCCTTATATTGCACGTTAAGGGTGGCCTCCCCCTTAACACACACTCTGGAGTTTTGAAAGTCTGTTAGCACAATGTCAGAAGGCCTCAACTTGGCCTGGATTCCGCTGCCGGAACAAATCTTCCTAAATGTATGCATAGAAATGATTGAAAGTGCAGACCCCGTGTCCAGTTCCATAGTTAATGGAACCCCTTGTAGCTTTACCTTAAGTGATAGCTTTTTCTTAATAGGCTTGTGTGTGCCTGTCCTATAGATGCTTCTTCGTGAAGCGCTTCTTCTGGCTGGGACCCCTGGTACCTTTCAGGCGCAATTCTTCCTGAGGTTGTACCTTCTGACGGCCCAGGCACACAGCTGCAATGTGTCCTTGTTTTCCGCACGCCCTGCAGATAGCGGAGCGGAACTTGCAGTTGGCTCTCTTGTGGCGACCTCCACAGCCGATGCACTTGGGGAGAGCTGAAGAGCTTCCTTTTTGTTTCCCTTCCTTTGTGGGGTGGAGACGGTCGACTTCCTCGTCCGGATCCTCCTCAGAGTTTCTTTGGACTTCTTCCTGGTGCACAGATGCAGCATCTAGACTGTTCCTGATCGGCCGCATGTTCTTGATGGCGCTGCCCGCTGCTTCTTCTGCGGTGACCTCTCTCAAGGCATCTTGGAAAGACAAGTCCTCCTTAGCAAAAAGTCTCTGTTGTAACTCTCGGTGCCTTAGCCCGCATACGAATCGGTCCCTCAGTCGTTCTTCGAGGTCCTTGAACTCGCAATGTTTGGCGGCTTTTCTTAATGTGGCGATGTATTCCTTGGCCAATTCTCTGGGTCGTTGATCCCTCTGCTCGAAGGTGTGGCGCCACGCGATGACGGACAGGCTGGAAATGCTCCTTCAGTAGCTTTTTTAGATCTGCATAGCTGACAGAATCTAAAGGAACAGGTGCTGCAAGGTTCTCAGCGATTTCGAATGCGTCTTGACCACAAACGCACAGCAGGGTGGCAGCCTTCAAACTATCTTCCCTTACTTGGTTCACCTTGAGGTAGTTTTCCACCCTGGCTACGTAGGACTCCCACCTCTCTGGATGTGAGACGTCGAATTCCAAAAGCCTTCCAATTTTTGCCATTTTTGTAGAAGGAAGGGTCTATCAGCCAGCCTACCCCCGAATGCACGCTGGATTGGCGGGTAGCTGCCGAGTCAACGCCGTTCCTGCCGCTCAGGACTCACTCGGGTAAGCTTACACCTTTTCTTCTTCGATGTAAGGCAATCCCACCTTCGTCGCCAGTGTTGAGTCCTTCGTGAAATGGCAAGACACGAGAAGCAGTTGTAGTTCTCAGGAAACTTCTTTATTCTTTAGTTCAGCTTACAGTTAGAAGACGCCGACAACACCCCAAACTCCTGACCTCTTATATAGGCCATCCCCGGGTCAATCTGCAACTTTTGGCACACCAGCACTTGCGCATGCGCACAAGTACTGGCGACAGCCTGTCTGATCCCGGGCAACTTGCACCTGCCCGGGACCGTTTGCGATGCCCCTGCACAGGCTCAGGACATAACAGTTTGTGTCCAGGATGTGAGGGGTCTGCAGATATCTTCTCAGCCCTTCCTCTGACCTACACAATATACAGGTCTTCCATGGAAGGCAACCTGATTACAATTATTCTTTCTGCAGTCTTAACTATCAGCTGGAGTCTGTATTTGTTCTGTTTGGTTGTTATACCAAACCAGTTATAAAAGTACATAGGATAGACTAAATAATTCCTCTGTAAAACTGTATCAACAGCTCCTGGGGTAGTCTGAACTTCCTGAGTTGAACAGAAATGACATTCTTTGTTTTCCTTTTTAATGATGGTTCTAATGTTGAGTGTCCGTTTCAAGTCCTGGGAAATCTGAGTTCTCCACACTTCATTGGAGTCAGTCTTGCATTAACCTTGAAAATGGTTCATTCTAGATGGGATGTTGGATCTAGGGCCAATAACATCTAGCCAATTCCCAACTCCTGCCAATTCAAATGTGGAATCAGGAGCTGAAAATTTAAGCTAAATTGACACATTGACTGAAATCTTAGTTTATTTAACAGTCTGTTAAATCTGCCTTACATGGCTTAGCTTGTACAATACAGAAAAATACACCCATAAATCAGGGTTAAATTTTCAGCTAGAATTGTGTTTGGAATTTTAATAGCATCTACTGAGTGCATTCACAAAATGGCCACCACAACAGATATAACAAGTCAAAACTGTCGATTTGCCAGTGTAATGTTGCAAGCCTGAAGCTGTTGCAGCAAATAAATCTATTAATAAATACAAATAAATCTATTAATAAATACAAACTCAGGCTAGTGCTTTCCCGTACAAATTGCTAGCTTCGTATTCATTTTGATTAAGTAATCTTTTTAAACCACAGGTACCAAACCTCAAAGGAGATCTCTGATGGTACATTGGCAGTTAGAGGCTCAATACTGCCTACCTGCTATTCTGTAAACTATGGTTTCTAAATCGCATTAGCTTTGTTTACATAGCAGATTAAGCCAAATCCAAACAAACTGCAACATACTTTAGCATAGGTAAACTTAGTCATTAAACTTTTAAAGAAACAATACTAATAATTATGAATGTAATTCTTGCTTCAAACTTCCAAAATGTTTCCTGTCTCCAAAGATCTGCTGGGAAACCGTAGATGTTTCTGCTTTTTAATCCACCATAGAAATTCATCCTTAGATAATATTCACAGAAAGAATCAGAAGAGAACATATACCATTTTGTTCCAATTGGCTGATCTGACTAATCTTGATATCAGCAAAACATTTGATGAAGTAACCCATGACATGTTGATTAACAAGGTAATTAAATATAGGATGAACAGCCTAACATATAACTGTCAGGCCTAACCCAAGAATGATGTAAAATAATCCAGCAAAAGTCCAGTTTACCTATATAAACAAGAATCTTGCCAGACTAAACCTATACCACCCCAACCTAATGGATATACCCTGGGAGATTCTAGGTTGTGGCTCATCTAAATCTGTTTCTTTTCCCATGGTCCAGCTCCAGTCTGTGCTTTCTCTTGTCTCTACCCCCCCTCCCCCCCAAGTCCTTTGAATGTGCTACCTTCTTCCTGGGAACCTGCTGCATTACTGTAGTTCATCACAATAGCTGTCACAGGGTTCCTGATGAAATGGAAGAAAATTATCAAGTGGCTATCACAAGGATCAGTCTGATTTTCCAGCCTTCAATATTGTTGTTAATCATTTCAGTGCAGAGGAAGGAAATGTTTATCAGACTTGCAACTCACTCAGAACTGGTTGAGGTAAAACAATATCCTAAAATACAGATAAGATAATCTTGATGGGCTAGAGAAATGGACTACAAGTAATAGAATGAAGTTACCAAAGGTAAGCACAGAGATTTTCAGTTATGAAAAAAAAAAATCAAATGCATATTAATGGCACGATTGAAATGGATATTACAGTAATAATTGACCACAAATGTTTTATCATACTGAAAACACTAAAACATGATTAAAACATAAGTAATATTTCGTGTGAGTGTGTGTGTGTGTGTGTGTGTGTGTGTGTGTGTGTGTGTCCTTGATAGCTGCAAAAATGCAAATCCCGGGCATATTTGTTCAATAACACAGCCTTCGATCTCCGGGAGAGGTATAAACCAGTTTTTTATTGCTAAAAAGATATTTAAAAACAATAAAAACAACTATTTACAATGTGTGTGTGTGTGTGTGTGTGTGTGTGTGTGTGTGTGTAATCTTTTGTGTTGTAACGACCTGGGTAATGGGCTGTGTGGTGACATCCTGAGATCTAGTGTAGTGATATCCTGAGTTCTGTGTTGCAACATCCTGGGTGGTAGGCTGTGTTGTAACCTCCTGAGTTCTGTGATGTGATGTCCAGAGCAGAAGGCTGTGATGTAACATACCGGGCTTTGGTTTGGCTCTGAGTTTGTGGTCTAACTCTGTGTTCATGTCGTGTGTCCGTTTGTTTTGTGTGGGGGTCCCCCTCCACAGCAACTCATGAAACGAACAATACACAACATATCAGACAGAACCCTCACCATAGCAGAAACCAATGTCCTTTCCAAAGGATTCAACTTTGCAGTAGCCCCCAAACGCATCCCCACTGAAAACATCATATGTGGAGTTGCAGCTACCCTAACCAAAATCAACCCAGATGAAGCCAATAAAATCAAACTTGAAGTCAACAATGTTTTCCTCTCCAGCAATCCACCTAGATGCAACTTACATAAAGAAGAATAAAAAGCACTCATCAACCTGAGGAAAGACAACAATATAATCATTCTCCCAGCAGACAAAGGTAACGCCACGTAGTGATGAACACATCAGACTACCAAGCCAAACTATCCAACCTACTCCAAGACCCCACTTACAAACCTCTAAACACAGATCCCACCACCTACCTGGAAAAAAACCACCAAATCCAAAGTAAAAGCCTCTCCCATCAGTGAAGAGATCCAGCAAAGAATCATCCCCAGAGAGAAATCATCCAGATGCCCCAAGCTCTATGGCCTCCCCAAGATTCACAAAGAAGAAACACCACTCAGACCCATAGTCAGCTCCATAGGCTCACCTCTACAGAATCTTGCCAAATTTCTCACCAAACAACTTCATCCCTACACAGAATCCATCTCCTCACACATACAAAACTCACTCCACTTCATAGAAACAATAAAGAAACAAAACCTACAACCCAGCGACCTACTTGTGAGCTTCGATGTCACATCCTTCTTCACCCAAGTGCCTATCAAAGAAGCCTTGACAGCTATCCAAAACAAATACAACCCCCTAAGCACATCCTAGATCTGACTAACCACTGCCTAACCAACACATACTTCATCCACAATGGACAAAGATACAAACAGATAGAAGGAGCACCTATGGGATCACCCCTCTCACCTATCATCGCAAACCTATATATGGAACACTTCAAAACCAATGCCTTAGACAAATCTGAACACAAACCCAAACTCTGGCTCAGATATGTAGATGACACTTTTGTAATTTGGCCACATGGGAAAGAAAAACTGGACAACTTCCTCACACATCTCAACAGCCTACACCCCAAAATACAATTCACAATGGAAATGGAAGCTAACAACCAACTCCCCTTTTGGACATCCTAATCTACAAAAACCCAATGGCTCCCTAGGACACACCATCTACCAGAAAGCAACACACACCAACCGCTACTTAAATGCACAATCCCATCACCACCCTGCACAGATCAACTCCGTAGCCAAGACCCTCATCTCCAGAACCAAACGCCTAGCTGACAAGCACCACCTGAAAACTGAATTACACACTCTCACAAACGTATTAATCTCCAACAGATTCCAAAGAAATACAATTACCAACCTAATCCAAAGGGAAACACCCCCCAAGAACCGAGACATAGAACAGTACAACGACTGTTGTACTCCCCTACATCAAAGGTACAACAGTACAACGACTATTGTACTCCCTTACATCAAAGGCACCACAGATAAAATCAGCAAAATTCTCCACAAACACAATATCAAGACAGCCTTCGGCACCGACCCAAAAATAGCCAACATCTTAAGAAACCCCAAAGACATGATCCAGCTAGAAAACCAAGGAATCTATGAAATACCATGCAAAATCTGCCCAGCCATATACATTGGATAAACTAATAGGAGAATAAATGCACGCATCGTAGAACACAAGAACGCAGTCAGAAAAGAAGAAAAAACTTCCTCCCTCTTCCAGCACCTTAAAGTTACAAGACATGAAATTGATTTTGAAGGAACCAAACTAATCTCCAAAACTGAACACCACAACAAGAGAATAATTATGGAAGCCATTGAAATAGAGAAACACCCCCACAACATGAATAAACGTGACGATACCTCCCACCTACCAGACATCTGGAAACTAGCCCTAATCAACAAACGAGTCCTAGCCACGAAAACTGACTCCGGACCCAGAACAACACAGCACGCCACCACCACACACCCTCACCAGACCCAAACCCAAGCCCAAACCCATCCCTCAGATGAAATGCAACCACCATCCAGAAGCCAAACCACGATGACATCACCAGCTGCTGCACCTCCCTCCAACCCCCACACAAAGCAAACGGACATACACCATGAACACAGAGCTAGACCGCAAACTTGGAGCCAAACCAAAGCCCGGTATGTTACATCACAGCCTTCTGCTCCGGACATCACATCACAGAACTCAGGAGGTTACAACGCTAAAGCTCAGAATGTTACAACACAGCCTACCACCCAGGATGTTGCAACACAGAACTCAGGATATCACTACACTAGATCTCAGGATGTCACCACACAGCCCATTACCCAGGTCATTACAACACAAAAGACTAATGGGCACACAGCCAGCATCTCAACTACTCAGGATGTTACGAAACAGCTGAACAATCTGCAAACAATAACTCCAACACAGCCAACCAACCCACCTACAGCAACTAAGCCAGCACTCCACACACCCCCACCAATATTTATAGAGAGACGGCAGCTCCGATCACACTTTGCTTGCACAAACACGAAGCCGAAGACCCCAGCCTGAAGATGATGAGTGGGACCTCATCGAAATGTCACCAAGATACTCTCAATCTTACACGGGAAAAGACCCGAATACGCCAAGACCTGCATACCTGTACCCATGAAAATCTACAAAAACAAACACACACACACACACACCTTCAGCTCTCACAAGAACTAACAAATTTTGGCAGAAGGCTTTAAAAAGGATTCATAGAATCAGAGAGTTGTGATTTGGAAGAGACCACAAGCATTATCTGATCCAGAAATGAAACAAGTATGATGAGGGGACTAGAAACTAAATTTTGTGGGAAAAGATTGAAAGATTGTGTGATTGTTATTGTTTTTATTCCTTGTAATAAAGCAGTTTTCTCTGCCTTATTTAATGTAGACAAAGTAATTTGGGGCAAATTTTGCTATGCCTCCAAGACCAGGAAAGTCTTCTTCGCCTTATTTTTCCTTTATAGGAAGTGGAAATATTTGTTACAGCCACATGGCAGTCCTCAACCCCTGGCTGCAGCCCAGTACTGGGCCTTGAGCCCTTCAGAGCCAGGCTGCAGAAGTGGCCAGCAAGTGTGTATGTATCCCCACTTGCACGAGCAGTGGGCTAGCATGGGCTCACGGGCTCCATTTGTGCAAGTAGTGGATGCACATGCCCACAGCTCACACAAATGAAGCTGCACTTACTTACTCACCACTCACATGGAACCATCCCCTCTTCCCCCCCCCCCCAGCCAATCTGCAAAGCTGGAAAACTTAGGGAACTCTGAGTTAGAGACTGTAACTACCTAATCACATTTTGATTAGGATTCAGCTTGGATGAAATGTGAAAAGGAAGTGAATTTAGCAGCATAGACTTGATCCAAATACATATCATAAATTACACTTTACCAGTAATCCACCAATTCCCAACCACTGTTTTATTAATTGGCAGATAAACAAGATTTATTTTGGGAAAAAAAATTGGTCTCATATATTAATTAACTTCTCATTTAACCAGAGAGGTAAAGCCCCCAAACTACTACCATAGTCTTATACTTTAAGAATAAATATTCATATACAGGCATTAGCAAGAAAAGCTTCCCACAGCCTAGAGATATCCAGTTTACTAATAGATCTATTATCAATCCATCTGCCCTTAAAGTCAGAACTACAATGGCTACTTCCAGTGGTGGGATTTAAATATGTGAATAACTGGTGTGGATGCCACTTCCAGAAGTCCATTCTGGGCCTGGACAAGAAAAAATTAGCTACCAGTTCTGCCGAAGTGGTGCGGACCGGCTGAATCCCACCTCTGGCTACTTCAGAATATAGCAATATTTTTCTTCCTCTCTCTGCAATAATATATCCCCTTCAAGTGGAAGAGAAGGGGAAAACAGCATGCCCACAAACTTGGGTAACATTTGGATTACCCACAAAACTGGTAATCCAAGTGTCATTTTGCACAAATGTACAGGGAAAGACAGGAAATTATAGATGAAATTCTAAAAGGCTTTCTGCAAAATCAAAGATGTACCTGGGAAGATACAAATTGGTACATGTCATCCTTTAAAAAGCCAAGTGTCATTATCATTCCAATATAACATCTTTAGCCAAGTGTCATT